TTTCAAAAATTCAGAGATATTCGTGAAAATCGGATCTATGCCATCTTTATAAATGAATTTTACTCTATTTTTACAAGAAATAAAAAAAATTGGGGCCGTTTTTGAAAAAACTTTGAAAATGTATCAGGGGCTTCGTATAAAGTACCCCCAAATTTTAAAAAATGTTTTTCAAAATCTTGAAGCTTCGACTTGAGCCACATGGAAAGGGGTTTCTTCAATTTGGAAAAAATCCTAGGCGTAGTTTAGGCCCTAGTAGGGTTCAACCATGGACAGACTAACGAACAGAGGGGTGTTTTGAAAAAAAAAATTCGGTATCAGAAACTCCAAAACGTGTATTTCTGTGAAAATCTGGAAATCGATTTTTCGCAGCATTATATAACTTTCCCTATATGAGTAATACGCGTATTACTCCATGTACACGTATGTATACGAGAAAGTAAAAATAATTGAAAGCAATAGAAGACGAAGAAAAGAAAAAATATACACTTTGGACCTAAATTAACCGAGTATCTTAATAATGCTAATGATACTGCATTTGGTTTCAGACCTGAAGATACAAATATATTGATATGAGAGTTTAATTTAAAAATGATGATATTATTATTCAAGGGGGAAAATATGAAGGTACTGTTGGATTATTAAGTCCATTAACAAATAAATCATTATCAAATATTGAATACACCTGATGATATAGAAAATTATGAAGAAATTGCAACTAAAACACATCTCATATTTAAAGATTATCATTTAAAATACTAATCAAGTTTGATCAAATGTTGGAGAAAAATGAAATAAAATATTTCAAAGATTATGAGTTGTGCAAAAACAAACAAACAAAGAACAAAATCACTTACATCACCAAAAAATGGAGTGGGTGTTATTAAAAAATATAATGAAAAACCTGTTGAATATGTTTGAATGAACGATGTACAGGATCTCATAAATTGATCATTAGTAATTCGTGATGAAGAAAAATCTGGTAACAATAATTTTTATAACAAAAAAATAAGTATCATAAAGATGTTAACAGGTAAATTTCAAGATTTTATTACTCAAAATCAAAGGAATTCCATATCTCATTCGATTACATATTATACCACATACGTTTTTGAAATATGAAAAACATGCTGGTGTTATGTGCATAAACATGCTGGTGCTGGTATTATAAATTGGGCAATTAATAATTTACCATTAGAATTACATCTTCCTGAATACTATTTTGTGGACCTGGTACAGATTTTAAAACTCAATTAGAACGTGGCGATTAAGGAATCAATCCACTTGATGAAGCTTGTTAATATCATGATATAGCATATAAAGATCATAAAGATTTAGAATTTAGACATAGAGCTCATAAAATATTACAATAAGAAGCAAAAAAAAACGTATATTTAGTAAAGAGGCTGATTTAAAAGGAAGAATGTTTGCTACTGCAGACTTAGAAACCATGTTTGCTAAAAGAAAATTGGGTACGGGAATATACCCTGAATTGGGAATTTAAAGAGATATGTCATGGTTTAAATACTAATAAATGTGAAGGGTGAAATCTATAACATTAACGTTATTTCCTGATGATGTTAAAAATATTAATTTTGATAATATTTTAACATCTAAACAAATAAAAGATAAAAATGAAAAATTAAAAAAGGATATGGTATGTCTTTAAATTAATCCATTCCATCAAAAAAAAAAGTTACAATCTAGAAAGTATGGTGGATTCATTGGAAGTGTATTAGCAGCAGTAGGACTTTTATTAATAAATGGTGCTAAAGCTATTTACAATGGTGTTCAATAACATAAAAAAATAAAGGCGAATTAGAGGAAATGAAACGTTATAATTTGGAAGTGGAAAAAAGGGGAACAGTGCTTAAAAAATAAGAAAATGCATCCTATTTCTATATTAAAAACATTAATAAATCAATTTTTACCCATTTCCCCTCAGTAATTATGATGTAATACAATGCGTTAAATATTTTAAAATTCCAAAATTTGAAGAGTATCTGTAATTGATGAGTGCCCAAAAATATTACATAAAAACATGTGAATATGGATACATTTAATTATAGTGGAACCCATTGGCTATCTTACCTTAAAAATAATGTACCTAAATATATTTTTGATTTATTTGGTGGATATTCACCATCACAATTAGTCAATTATCTTGGATCTCATCAATTATATTATAATGCTGAGAGAATTCAAAATTTCAATCGATTTATTCTTGGTCATTTGTGCATATTTGTATTAAAAATGATATCTATGAAATATACATTGCCTGAAATTTCAAACATAATAAATGCCACACGATATATGGTAGTATTGATAATTGCGATGACCTTTGAAAAAACATACTGAAGAAACCGAGTCATTTATAGCATCTTTACCTATCATTGGTAAAACAGAAAATTATAATTTCCACAATAAAATATTATGTAAAGTAAGTGCTGGTGTAGATAATGATAAAGTTGTAGTGAAGAAACAGTTAAATAATATATCACATTGATAACATAATCAAATCTTATTATTTGATTTAAAGAGTCAGGTAGAAAAATGTTTTTTTCTTTTACAATCAACCGTTTTTTGAAATATATTGTAAAATTAGTTATATTGAACCAAATATTGACAGATTTAAATCTCAATGTGCAATCATTTGGTGAAGTTGGAAAAAAAAAGCAGTCAATCATTTAAAAATTTACGATATTTGAGAAATAATGTATTTATGTTTGTGAATATACTTGCATCATTGAAAATAATAAAGAATTTGGGCTTTATATGTGGATACATCTGGAAAAGATGAAAAAAAGGATACATGTACAGGTAATATGTATATAGAATATATTGAAGTTGCATACAATGTTCAAGTCAAAGGTTCAAGTAAATATAAATATTAAACATATTTATATCTGGTTCATATCAAAAGATGGTGAAGAAAATAGAGATGAGTTGATGCAACCATTAAGATTCAATAAAGGATATAAAATATTTTTGTGAACCAGTAAATATTTTAAGGAAATACCCATTTTTTTTAAATTATTCATTCAAGCAATAATTCATTTACAATTATAAGTTATATAAATGGGTACCTATTGCTTGAAATGTAAAAAAAAATACTGATACATTTCAAATTAATTTAGAAACAACAAAAAATGGAAGACCTAGAATAGTTGGTATATGTGCAATTTGTGGAAAGAATAAATTAATTTTAAATAATCAACTAAATATTTGAGAAACTATTTTCAATAAATTACATAAACCTATGTGAATAAATTTTCCATGACGTCACGATATAACATATGGAATTGATAAATTATGGTAAGCAGATTTAGTAGAAATGAATTTAGGACAATTGAAAGGTATATCCAAGAAATAACAGATTTGCTTATGTTTTAACAATTGTTGGTGTATTTTCAACATATGCATGGGCATTACCAGTTAAAAGAAAATCAGAATTAAGTGTAAGTAAAGCTATTGATAATATATTTCAAAATAAGAGAATACCTAAATATTTACAAACAGATCGTGGTAAAGAATTTTATAATCAAGATTGTCAACATCTTATGAAACAGTATAATATTCACCATTATTCTAGTTTTTCAAAACTTAAAGCATCTGTAGATGAACAATTAAATTGTACATTAAAAGAGAAAAAGTTTTATATTCAAGGTAATCATAAATGGTTGAGTAATTATAAATGGTCCAAAATTAATAGATAAATGCAATCATGCTACACATTATATTGAAAGAAACCTATTGATGTCAATAAATGTAGTGAAAATGTATTATTAAAAACTGTTGTAAAATAGACATTTATTTTATCGAAATTCACAAATGGTGATCAAGTAAGAGTAAATAAATAAAAATTCATATTTGATAAATCATATACTGCTAATTGGTCTACGGAAATATTTGAAAGTGTCAAAAATCATTTGTTACAATGCTACAATTTGTTTCGTATCTTAAAAATAGTCAAGGATCATGTTATAAATATGAATTACTAAAAACCAAATATGCAGGTATTTATTTAATTGAAAAAGTATTAAAAATAAGAGAAAATACAGCATATGTTAAATGGTTAGGATTTGATCAAACGTATAATTCATGAATTCATATAGAAAATTCAAATAGAATAATTTGGAGATAAATGTTTAGATTGTCCAATCAAGCTAAGCAATTAATTGAATACTATAACAAAAAATGTATATGTGCAAATTTGTACACCTTAATTATAAAGAAAAAATAAGGAAATAAAGAGAATAATATAAAGATAGACAATTATTATAAGGAAAAAGGCCGCTGCATGAATTCGTGCACCTGCTTTATCTACGAAATATCTGGTGATTTTAAACTCATCACAGATATGAGTAATGATTATTTCAATTCTACAAAATTATGTGAACTTGGTGATAACAATTGGGATAGAAGTAAACAGTCAATTCTTAAATGCGACCTTCAGTTAGGTGCTGCGAATCCGCACCACCAAAAAAGTTGTTATACAATTAAATCTAAAGGTACAAATCAGTTTGATTTATTAATTTCAGGTACCTATGTTTATAAGAAATTATTACTTGATATAGCCACATGGATTAATGATGATTTCTATTGTGAATGTTATGTTACTGAAAATTATTTTATAAACAAGCTGAAGAATAAGATTGATGCCTTATGTAAAGAAAAGATCAATTAGCTAATATTTTAAACAAAGTGAAAGAAGATATTGCACCAAATCTAAGAACAAAAAAAAACAAAAAAACCTTTAAACTTTTTTGATCATCGATAAGAAAAACAATGAATCAAAATCTTATAATACTTAATGAATCTAAAGAAGAGAAAATAGATAAACGATTAGGTTAATTAAGTAAAAAATATTCTGATTATGAAATCAAATTAAAATCAGTTTATGATCGAAACGTGCATACCTTATTCGATCGAATGAAAGAATTATCTACTGATTATTTTAACGCTACGAACTTATGTAAAGGTGCTAGTAAAGTATTTAAGAAATGGTAAAAAATACAAGATCTAAAGATTTAATTGGCTACTATGCTGAAAAAAACGCTGGCCCAAATTCGGGCCATCGCTCTGTATTATCAGGAGATAAAACTTGTAATCCAAATCTGAGCAAGCGTCGGCAAACGACTCATCTGCCAAAGTTTCCTAGTACTTCCGTGACGTCTAAATTTCGAATTCGAATTCCGCCGGGGGAAGCCGTCGCTAGCGCCCGAATCACCAGGACTCAGACCGCTGCTCCGGTCGCCCTTCGAGGGGCAAAGGCACTGCCGCCGCCAGCGGACCGTGCCACGCTACAGTCGCCAGAGAGGGCCGCCGCTTGCGCCACTGCAGGTCATACACGCTGGGGCTGAAGCCGCACCCGCCTGAGTGTCAGAACGCCCGGACGCTGACCCGAGGGGGCATGATCAATAAGCTAAGTTAGGTTAAGAATATTAATATTGTAATTGAGGCCTCACCTCAACTATAAAATGGGAATAAAAATCCATGTGTAAAACTTACAATGAGTTTCAATGCGTTAGTGCAAGGAAAAGCCGATCACGCATGAGTCCCACCAAAATTTCGGACTGAGCAACTGGGCAACCCTGCTGAAGGGAACTCAGGAGAACAGGTATATCGGGTCATCTTGGTAATCACCTCCCCCTTCTTGGAGAATTGACGCATTGTCGTTTTTGGTCATATCGACCTCATTTGTTAATTAATGAATGATGACATTCACAATATATGTAATTTATTGAGCCTCTGAATTCTCTTCTACAAACAATGTCTTTGCAACTGGCAAAGCATACTTACATTCCCTGATAATTTATAAATCTTTAACTAATTAACGTTATCTGATGACTGAAATATTACTTTAAGTTTGAATTTATAAGTTAATATATAGATTGAGCAAAATGCCATAATGTTGTTACTGCAATGCCAAATGAAAATTATTCTTATAAGATGTTACCCGCGAACGGGAGTGGGGCGAGGAGGCCCTGGCGTCCGTCCCTTTAGGTCCGTATCATGGTTCTGGAGGGGGTTGCTGTCTTAGGCGCCGTCTAGGCGCATTCCGGACGATGTTTGTGAGAACATACGATGGTAGCCTTTTTGCGTCGTACTGTTCCTCTGAGGCATCAAATAAAGAAATTATATTTTGGATGGTTCATATGACGTACGTCACCATGATGGTTACTCAGTGTCCGATGTCACCATGATGATGAAAGGAATATCACTCCATGATATTAGGATCAGGCTAGATTTTCTTGTTGGAAATAACGTACCCAAGTAAGTTTACAGATTTAACAAAAAAATCTGCATTCTCCTTTGTTCAGTGTCAAATTATATTTCTTAGATTTAGCAAAAATGTGTCTGGTTTACGGTTGGGTTCCTCTTTGGTTCTTTCACATATCGTAACATCATTTAGATATTGATACGTTTCCTCCAGTCATCCATATTGTGCAATTTGTTACTGACAACACGGACACGTAAAAATTGGCAGTTTCCCGCAAACTTCAACTTTTCTTTCTAACTCCAGAATATATAATTGACAATAGGCATTCCTGAGATCAATGGTGCTGAATACATCATTCGTTGAAACTGTAGCAATTATCTCTTCAATCCTCGGAAGGGATTAAGAATATATTCTTCTTCTCCGTTTCATGGATTTGGCAGGGCGGCCAATTCTTTTTCTCGGACGACCGATTCTCCGGCCAGCTGGTTTGTAGCCCCTAGCCAGTCGAGGAATTTGACTTCTGCTCATTCGCTCCAGATTACTGCACCAGCTCATTTTAGTGACGCTGATCTTCTTTTCAAGACTAAATATCTATAACTCTTTACGCATTTCTTCACTCATAGTTTTGTCATCTAGAGGACACCCTTTCACAGCTCAAAGAAATCCCATATTTTCGGGTCTCACTCTATTTATTTCTCTTCGAGAGTTGCCAGATCTCGCTTCCATTTCATACTGGTACTTCCATCACCTTATTAAACTTAAGTCTGGTGTCTTTTCTTGTTTCATAGTTCAAGGTTAAAATGAACTGTGCCAAAAATGTTTAAACCCGTTTAACCCTTTTTTGTGACATTGTCATTAAATGCAAAATATGCTTTACATCCCAAGTAATTAAAACTGGACATGCTATAGTTTTCCCATTCAGTACTATTTTTGATCTGACAGGATATTTTCCATGAAAATCCATCACTTTAGTATTTACTATGCTGTCCGGGTGACGCCGCGTCCATGGCGAAGTACCGACGTTTCGGTCGCCATTCTGCGACCTTCCTCAGGGCGTAATAATTCCTCAGGGCGTCAGCACAGCCAAGTAAATATTGACTCAAGCCTACGCTCTCACCATCACTTTAGTTTTATTAGTAGATATTTGAAGGGGCAGGGTTTAGTTGAATTCCTGAGTAAAAAACTTCTCTCCATTTGTGAAAACTGTCAAGAAATAAAATAAACAATCTTGTGGAAATACAGCATCTCTGTCTAAACCTTTAGTTGTTTTAAGTTCTACTGTCAACCTTTTGCCGGTATCAATATCAACTGTTGTGCCTTGGTACAGGCTTTCGATAGCATTAATAAGATGTAAAAGAAAACCTCTTCTAATAAGTATGCTTCATAACTTCGCCCTATTTACGCTATTGAAAGCTTTTTCAAGATCAATAAATGCCATCTGAGTTTCCCAATTAAAATCACGTCGTTTTTCTACGATCTGTTTGATAGAAAATATAGCATCTATCGTACCGTGCCCCTTTCTAAATCCCATTCGATCTTTGCCTATTAAGCAATCGGAAATTATTTTCAGCCTTTCAGTATTCAAGCATATATCTTATACAGGCTATCAAATAAGCTGCTGTCTCTATAATTCTCATATTTTTCTCTGTTACATTTCATAAATAACGGGATTACTTCCGACTTTAAGCAGTTTTGTGGTATTTTACAGTTTCCAGCACCTGTTAAACAAATGTAGCAATCGCAGCTGTAGAAGCATTCCACCATATTTCCAGCACTCAGCATTTATTTTATACAATCCTGTTGTTTTCTTATTTTTAACGCTTACTGTAACCTCTACCTTCACTGGTCCATATACTGGTCCATATCTTGCACTGTCGTGACAGACTTTGAGTGAGTGCTAGCTGAAAGATCTGCGAAGCACTCAGGCTAGGTGAAGATCTTGTTGGAGATTGGCTTCATTTGTTATCAGCAATAGCTTTTTGGAAGACCGGTGCTTGCTGAGACCGTACCAGCCATTTGGCGTATCGCCCACTGAAATGTCCTGCGCCAACTTTAGACACGCCTCGGCGCTCCCCAAGCAGCGGCTCTTTTACCGAGGGCTTGCGCCCTAAAGACGTCTCTCACTTTCAATATGGGTGATTTCCATTGCCTGGAGCACCATTATAATCGTGACAATTGCCTCTCTTCCATGTAACACAGTTGTTCTTGCTAGCACGAAATGTTGGACTTAAGACTTGCAGAAAGAGGGTGGGAAGGAGGGGGAATATCATGGAGAGTGAGTTTTTCACCTGAAGAAGGGAAACGACTTGAGAAGACAATTTAGGGGAGGGGCAAGACAATAATGAGAGACGTATAAATTTCACAGATAAGGACAGCTGCACTTATGATGGAGAAATCCCGAGGTGCTATTCTACTAAAAACCGATCACCACACGGGGATTATTATTATATTTCAAGTCTCTTGATTAGCGAGGTGCCCTACAGCAGACAACGGGACCTTTGGAGAACCAAGGTGCCTGCTTCGCTTGCAAACTCGGGCGGTCAGGATTCTACCTGAAGTTATATCAATAAAATCTTCCTCACGATACGTACAGTACTCAGGAGAAAAGCCTTTTGCATTGATTGACTGTGCCAGTTCTTAAGGCCAAGCCTTGTAGACGATGAAATCAGATCTTTAGAGATCAGTCCATTTGCAGAGATGACCACAGGCACTACTTCAACAGATAATAACCGCCACAACTCGCTCTGTTCAATATGCAAGACCTGATTATTTACTTCTTCTCGACAATACAGGCAACTATATTTCGGTCTAAACGGATAGGTATGTCGACTACAACCCCTTTCCGTGAATCATTATCGATCAATATTATATCCGGTCTGATGGCTTCGACTCTACGATCAGCGGTGACTGCTACATTCCACAAGAGCTTCCGCCGTTTCGACTCCCAAACTGAATTTGTCTTGGACTTGTAGTATGGGACCTCTTTCTGAACCATCTCCGACTTTACAGCCTGATGGACAACCACAGAAACGTCGTTGTGCCGGCTGAAGTATTCTGTTTGTGCCAAAGCAGAGCACCCGCTCTCTATGTGTTGGAGGGTTTCACCAAATTGATTGCAAAGGCCGCAGCGGTCCTCTACACTCATATCCCCAATCACATACCTTTGGTAATTGTGAGAGGAGATTACTTTGTCCTGAATATAAATGACGAACCCTTCAGTCTCAGTAAAGAGGCCAGATCTTGTTAGCCAGGAGACTGACAATCCCATATTCATTCCCCTTGAGCTCAGTAGGATACCTGCCGTGCAAAAACATCTTGATTCACTCGCTCAGCCTATCTTCTTTGGTGATACATGGTCTTTCAGACTCCGTTTGATTCAGGTGCAGTGGGATCAAATTCGTGTCCGTGGCACAAATTGCTTCATGCATGACCGTCGTTTTCTGGAGGAAGTATTTGCGAAGATTGTTGATTTGCTTCGCTCCCAAGAACTCAAAGCCCAGAAGACCTCTTCTTCCTTCGTTCCTCGGCAAGTACAGTCTTGCCATTGAACTTTTGGGATAGTGTATACAATACTTGGTGAGTGGTCCTATATTTTCGATTAAGCTCCAGCAGTGCAGTTGTTGTTCAGTGAAGAACACCAAATGTATAGACAGGGACAGGTACTGTCCAAGTGTTGATAGCTGATATGAGGTTCTTTCCATTTAAAAGAGTTTTACAGATTTTTGACACTCTTTGCAAGACTTTATTTTTAATATCACACCTCATCTTTGCTTCACTTGTGCTCAAAAGTTGGTGCAGGCCTAAATATTTATAGGTAATCTCTTGCCCAAGTTCTTGGATATTTGTGCCAAACATCAGGATGATTTTGTCAGGATTAAGGATTTTTCCCCTTTTCACGTGCACTGCAGCGCATTTATCAATGCCAAACTCCATTAAATAAAGTCGCTAAAGGACTTAACAAGTTCAAGAAACAAGAAGAGCTTGTTCTTCTTTCTGGCGTACAATTTGAGATAGTCCATGTATAACTGATGATTAATGAGGATATGGGGATTTTGGTGATTTCATCTCCCTGAATCTCTTAACATTTTGCTGAGAGGGTTTAGTGCTAGCGAGAACCATA